TTTGCAGTTTCACTAGCAAATTTTCATATAATAACAAAAAAGCAGAAAACATGACCTTTTATACTTAACTACCTTAGTTTTGCTAAAAATCTGAATATGTTAAGCGTACACAGCGGCCATTATGGATCCGCCATTTTGAATTTCGAAATTATGTGGTGAAATTTAAAACCAGCAACCAAAATAAAGACCGATACACAAGGTTTGATTCCAATTGTACCACGCTTCGACTTTTGGCCAGCTTTTTCGAAAAATTGGCCACTGTGCGGCGGCACAGAGAAGAAACATAACTTTTCCTTGAGATGTGAGAATAGCAAGCACAACAAATTTGACGGCTAATAATATGAGATTTGCCGGTGTAAACGGGGTGATTGAAAAATGAGCTTTGATTGAGGTATAAGGGCGTTATAAAAGCGGTATATTTGATCGATTATTCCTCAACAAAAACACGGAAAAATCCATTTTTCAGATCTAGCTTCGTAAACCACTGTGTTTACCAATCTATCTGACAAGTCTTTTATCAGTGGTATAGGCTAACAATCCTTCGCTGTAACTTTGTTAAGCTTCCTATAATCTACGCACATCCGTAATTCACCTGTCATCTTTTTACAAAAACTATTGACGAAACAAACTCTGAGCTACTAGAACGTATGTACCCTTTCGCTAAGTACTCATCTAAAATTTTTTGTAACTCATCTGTTTCGTTATACGATAACCTTCTAGGCGCGCAACCGAAAAGCTTTTTATTATCTAGCACTAGCTGCATTTCCTTTTTCACTATATGTTGGTCTGGCTTAGTTGTGTGCATATATTCTTTGTAAAACACCTCTTGAAGGCGTTTTTTGTACTAAAAATTAATTTTATCTCCTACCTTATAAACGATTTCATTTACATCGTACATTTCTATCAACAGGATTTCGCCTATGGCTTCACTAAACTTCTCATGTGCGATCTTATTATTGTTTTCCTCGAACCTAACATCTGTCATTACGTCTTCTGAACTCGTGTTTGAGATTTTACCGGCAATCTCTACATCGATTTTAAATTTGACATTGCTTGCCGCTATAAAATTCCCACACTTAGGGAAACAAATTTTAGAATTAAACAAAAAAACGTGTTAAATTTAACAAAATACGCATATGAGAGAGCACTTACCCAACTCGTTTTAAATTTGAGTATGTACGTTATAAAATATGTCGTTGTGAAGTGCACAGATGCTTTTTCGTAATTAAGAAAAAAAAAACAATTAATTTTATGTTCCGTCTGATGGTAATTGAACCCGGACCCTCTTGGCAGCAACCAATCGTATTAAGCTTCTTTGCACACTCAGCTACAGCCATACGTGTAAATGTGTTTTCAAATGTTGAGTTTGAATCAACATCACAGCGCGCGATTAGTGCATTTGAACAGATAAAACATGTACCATGTATGTATGTGTGTATGTGTTGTCACCGCTGTGCATGCCTTGTATACATATGCTTTCTTAATTACATATGAAAAAGCATCTGAGACGTGCAAAGCGCCATACGTGCAGTGAAAAATGCTTCATTTTAATACGGGCGTATTTGAATTGAATATTTCCATTATACGTAGTCTATGTGTAATGGAAATATTCAATTTTGAACACTTTTCACTTGATTTAAATACGAACATTTTTAAACGGTAATCAAATAAAAAAATTTAATTTTTACAACGCGTTTTTTTTATCAGTGTACCTAGCATAACTGAATAACCAACCGACTCACTAGGCACCACCATAACTTCAATTAATATATCTTTATTCAGTACTTTAACGCAACATTTCACTTTTCCAAAAAATTTTAATCCTGATTTGTTAAATCCAAAGTAAGTATTATCAACTTTTTCTAACCGCACTCTCCCTGGTATAAGGGCTTGTTTAACTAGGCTTATAGGGCTGCCAGACAGTGTTGCCAACTTTTAATTTTCAAAAAGCACCAAAAACTTGGAAAAAAGCGTTTTACCACACTAAAAGCACCAAATGGTTTTGAGTCAATGAATGCTTTTTTCATAACAGTTTGTATGTATTTAACAAAAACAAAAAATTAACAATATTTACAAGAATGCATACATAAATCAATAAACAAAACTTTTTCGGTCATAACGATTGAAAAGCCACATGCTATAATGACTCATGCTTACGACGTAATACCGAAGAACTGCACATTAAAACTGATATATCTCAAGAAAGAAAAATCGAATCCCAACAAACGAAAATCATGCCCTAAGTAGAAATGAGCAAAATAATTTATGTTTTCATTATATAACCTCAAATATCGCCAAAAACCGTGATTTTGGCACTTTGAGGTTAGGATATCTCAAAATTCTAGTGCTAGAGCAATTGTGAGGCCAGATTTGGATTCAGCACCAAGAAACGATGTGTTTTACTCAGGAGGTACAAAAATAAAAATTTTTAAAAATAATTAGAATAAAAAGAATTACTTAACTTACTCGCATATCTACTAGCATTTTCAACGCGAATAGAATTGAACAAGATTGTATTTAAGTGCATTTAGATTTGTAGATTTTTGTAAATTCAGTGCTGCCACAGCTTTAAATATTTAAAAATTATTTCAGGTTTTAACTATATCGGAGTAATTTTAGTTCAGAAAAAAAGCCCTAAAAACGGCACTAGGCACTAAATAATTTTTTTTGGCGTTTTAATTTTCAAAAAGCACTAAATCTAGTGCTTAAAGCACCAAGTTGGCAACTATGCTGCCAGAGTCGATTAAGCATTCTACAATCATATTAAAATTAGGTGCAGCTATAACATTAATATTAAAATAACTTACAAAATTATTGCTGCTTGTTTTCTTCTTGTACTACTGGCAATTAAAAGCCTAGTGATCCGGACTGGCACTTAGGCTTCTTGCAGTCTTTGGAGATGTGTCCGGAGCTGTTGCAAATGTAGCAACGGAGTCTGTGTCCACCCGCTTGTACGCCTGTCTTTGAACTTGACGACGGCAACTCGATCGTTCGAAACGCTTTCGCGAGATCGCTGGGTGAAGAAAACTTTTGCAACTTTGCTTGAATTTGTAGCTGCTTGTTCGGTATTCCATCGACGATATACTCGACGAGTTCTGCATCACCCAGGTTCAGGCCGCTGCTCAATAAACATTTTTCATGGTAGTAGTTGCAAAAGGACTCCTCAGTTTTCCAGGCTCGATTCTCAAAACGTCATTGCATCACCAGTAAGTTGTCGTTATGTGCGAACGTAGTTGACATCTCTTTCAGTACTTCACCGAGGCCCTTAAGGTACATTTTGTTTAAGTTATACCAGGTGAGGGCGACACCTTTCTATTTCAACTGCACCGCCAGTCCTAATGTTTCACTAACAGCTTTCAGTACCTGTTGTAAACCCACAAATTGTGACACTTCGGGTTTGACAGTTGCGTTGACCTTTTTTCTTTCTCCAAGAATATCTTCATATTCTTTTTCTAGTAACTTCATTTTAGGCTCATCACTCTCGCTATATGTTAGCGGGCCATCATCGATACGCCGCTGTTCCACTTCGCGCTTACCACAAGGATTTCTGCCAAACTGTCTGTTTTCGACCTGCAGTACATTTTCATTGCTCGCGCCTTCGTGTCGATCATTGTCCGCGCCATTGTTGTCCGCAGCGTTTTCGTCGGCAACATGGTCGTCCGCAACATCCCGCAAGATTGTTGTCACAACCACCGCTGTTGGCACCATTGTTGTTCGGTCCGTTTTTTCCGCTATAGTCCACACCGTTATTCGTACTGGCATCTGTACCATTTTTCGCGCCGCTATTTTCCGCTTCCTTGTCCTTATGCGTTCCGACGTCTCTTGGGCACAGTCCACATGCCTCCGCAGACAACTCGCTCAATATTGCGGCAAGCGATGCCTTAGCGCCGCTCGCATTAAGCCCTGCGGCTGTGTAACAGGCTTTCAGTTGCAATAAGGTGTACTTCTCCACGTTAATGGAACGTTGATCCATTTTAGTTTGTAGGACTGACTTCACCACCACTTCTGATGAAAACGCCTTGGTGCTTATTTCGGGAAAATTTTCCTTAATTCGGTCCAAATTTGAAAAAAATAAAAATGAGGGTGTGTAGAGGAGCTTTTTCCGATTCTAGAAATGAAAACCCCAGAGGGCAGAGGCTTCTATTTTAAAAGTTATTCACTTTTAAAGTTGCATAATTCACCATACAAATTTCATTGATTACACGGAAGTGTTGAAAATGAAAACAGTTGTTGGTGCTGCCAGATGATGAAAATAGTACAAAAAAGTCGCGGGTTTTTTAGAGAAAATTTTCACTTTATATTGAAATACTGTTTTACATAATAAAGGAGTCGCAGGGGAAGTATTGATTTTAATACAAATGTGCATTATTTATCGAATTATCGATTTTTATAAAATAGCATCACAGGTGCAAATTTTTAATAAAAAATCGCGCGATTTTTTATAAAAAATTTTCATTATTTAAAGAAGTAGTGTTTTTTTTATTTAAATCAAGTGAAAAGTGTTCAAAATTGAATATTTCCATTACACATACACTACGTATAATGGAAATATTCAATTACTTCTAAAATGAAGCATTTTTCACTGCACGGATAGCGCTTTGCTTTTCATATGTAATTAAGAAAGCATATGTATACAAAGCATGCACAGCGGTGGCAACTCATACACACATACATACATGGTACATGTTTTATCTGTTCAAATGCACTAATCGCGCCCTGTGATGTTGATTCAAATTAAACATTTGAAAACAAATTTACACGTATGGCTGTAGCTGAGTGTGCAAAGAAGCTTAATACGATTGGTTGCTGCCAAGAGGGCCGGGTTCAATTACCATCAGACGGAACATAAAAATAATTTTTTTTCTTAATTACGAAAGCATCTGTGCACTTCACAACGACAAATTTTATAACGTACATACTCAAATTTAAAACGAGTTGGGTTAGTGCTCTTTCATATGCGTATTTTGTTAAGTTTAAAAATTTTTTTTTAAATTCTAAAATTTGTTTCCCTCAGTGTGGGAATTTTATAGCGGCAGGCAATGCCAAACTTAAAATTGATGATCGCAATCCATCGTAGACTGTTTTTTCGGAGAAGTTACGAAATAGCTTTCACGCAATTCGAATAGTTACGACGTAAATTCGAGATTCGTAGAGTTGCATTCTCTGAACCCACTCCAAGCGTCAATTCGTAGATTTTCGTACTATTTTGCTACGACGTGTTTTTGCATCGGGGAGAAATAAAAAAGAGTTAATTAAAATAAAAATTTAAAAGAAAAAATGCAAAAAGCTTTAATATGTAAGTCTACTATTAATTCAATTATAAATAAGTTTAACATGCATATATATATACACTTCTACAGGACTAAAGTTGTTACAACACGACAGCAGTATGCTACTTTGTTGGAGCTTTTGCAACAGAAAACAGAAATCGCCCAGGGTTTCTCAAAATGCTCCAAGGAAGAGGTAATGGAGTTCTGGCAAAGTGTGGCGAAGGAGCTGAATAGTCTGGGCCCACCAACCAAAGACGTGTCGAGCTGGAAAAAAGTAATGAATTGCTGCATGTGTTATAATTTCGTATATCATATATTTATTTCAGTTGTGGTTAGATTGGAAGGCCTACATAAAGAGGAAGCTATCCGAAAACAAGAAGGAGCAGGCAGCAACAGGCGGAGGACGAAATAGGCAGCACCATTTCAATGAATTGGAAGAGGAAGTCATTAAGATGACAGCTTTAGAGACCAGCACGCACGGCATCACAGGTACGGTAAGTGTTGGACTACCTTCTGCCGGCGTAGGAAGTTGCGAGGCCGATCCCGACGTATCCATGTTGTCGGGGAACTGCAGTCCATTCCTCCCGAGACGTGCTCCAACTGTCCAGAAGCGAGCCGACACAAGTGCTGCAGAACTTTTGGAAGAACAACTGGAACTTCAAAAGGATTTCCAACAAAAGAGTGTGGAGGTAGAGCAACGAAGGTTAGAAAAGTTGTCAAGAAATAAATAAATACACTAATTTCATTGAAAACAACGAATGTTTGTATTAAAATAGATTTTTCTTGTCATCCATGGTTTGTATCATTTCCAACGAGCAAAATAAACCTTAAATAAACCTTTTTTTAAGTTTACAATTATAAACATTAATGGCATTATTCATAAAAAATAAAGTAGCTTTACAAAAGGTTTATAAATTGAAAAATGTATGAAAACGTCAATTTATAAAGCTCTTTAAACCTACTTTATTTTTTATGAATAAGGCCATAAGCTTACAAAACGTTAATTTTTTGTTTATAAAACGCGTGGAAGTAAGCGTAATATAATCGAAATGGAACCTTGGTTACAAGCGTATAAATATATAAACTTATAATAAATGTTCAAAAGAAGGGTTTTTATGAGCGTATAAATCTGTGGTCATAAGAAATAACCGCCTAAGACGAAAAACCTGAATTCGAGAAAAAACGTTTTAAACATTTGGATGGTAATGTTAACCTTATGGGGAAACCAAAATATGTTTGTCTATAACTTTTTAAAAAGCCTAGCTGGCGAGATGGGGATTTCTTCACATACGCATGGAATAGTAGTTGCAGAATACGATAGCATATAAAACTAAATTCTTAAGTCGGCTTAGACAGTTATTGTTTATGACCACAGAAATATAAACTTATAGTAAATGTACAAAAGAAAGCCTTTTATAAGCGTATAAGTAAAAACTTATAATTAAGGTTCAAAAAAAGTTGTTTTTAAACGTTTTTTTAAACGATATTTCATTAATAGCTCATACTTAGATTGTTTAACATTTACCCGTCCATATAACGCATCAAACAAAATTATTTTTAAATGGAACAAAATGCTCAACACCCCCGACAAAATAAATTCTAAAAATCAACGGTAATTATTAGCGAATTGAAACTTACACTATATGGCATTTAAATTGAAAGGGCTACAAAACTGCATACTCGAAAATTTTCCAAAAATTCGAAATAAGATTGAAATTTTGATGAAACTTTTTGAAATCTGATACATTTTTTTAAACTTTGTGCAGGCTTTGAAACTTTTATATATGTAGTTTCTGTTAGAGACCGAACTATAATTTAAGCGAAAACTGCTAAAAATAAATAAACTTATAAATAAATTTCTTCTAATTTCTTGAAATTATATTCGTATAGATTGTCTTATCTGTGAAGCCGCATTATTATAACTTGATGAAGAAAGCTCATGGTTTTCGTTAGTATACTGTTCAACATTTTCTGATATATCACCACTCACGCGATAGTGAATGCAAATGTTGTGTAACGCTGCAGCAACGTTAACTATTTGACATACTTTCGAGGGTTCATAATGAAGCTCACGAGCACCCAGAAGGCATGCAAATCGGTTTTTAAATACACCAATGGTCCTTTCTACATTATTTCTAGCCTTCGCATGCACTTTATTGTAGTTACCTTCAGGGCTTCCTGATGGAGGTGATCGGAAAGGTGTCATTAGCCATGGCTCCAGGGCGTATCCAGCGTCTCCTGTGGAAAAAATAAACCCTTTTATTTTGACAAAAATTCAATGAAATTGGACGTATATACAGTGGTGGAAGAAATAATAGAAACTTTTTACTTTGACCAGTTTTGGCTATATTACTTTGTTTAATCAATGTTTAATGTTTTTGTATAAAAGACTAGCGCAATATATAACACACACTATATAAATCCATATTTCAAAGTTTGTACAAAAATTATAAAAATCCAAGAAACTTTAACAAAAACCCCAAAAAATTTCAAACTTTTTAATCAGATTTTTTTTTTAATTTGAGTATTCAGTTTTATAGCCCATTAAATTTTAGGAGAAAAATTTTGGGTATGCAGTTTTATAGCCCATTAAATTTTACTGCAAACCGCAAGACGCTAGAAAATCGCATTGATTTTTAATATTCTCATTTTATTGTCGCATATCTGCAAATAAATTAAATAAGAAATTTGAAGTATGTATTTGTAAGTATGTAGATTCTTCTCAAAACCTACGATCATGGCATTGATGCTGTAGTAACCTTTGCGGTTAAAATAGATAAACTTTTCTTTAGTTGGAGCAACAATTTTAATGTGTGTCCCATCTACACACAAAATCGCGCCAGGAAATCCATATTTCTGGTAAAAGTCTATCTTGGCTTGACTTTTTTCATCGTTGCGTAAGTCGAGGTTCACCCACTGAGGGCATAGATGGGATTGAAGCGATGCTAATACGTCTTTTAAGACGCAACAAAATGTGGACTGGGCCATTGGAATATCAAAGTCTTTACCCACTCCGTGCTGATAACCTTCCTCCGCAAAAAAAAAAAGACGGAAGACAAACGATGGAGTAAAGAAATAGACGCCGACCTTTGTGAACTTGCACTCCCCTCTAGAACACTGAGGACGTACAAAAAGGCCGCTTTATTTAAGCGGTATTTTTTAATAAACCTGCGTTTGAAAAATTTTTTCAAATAAAATTTAACTGAAGTTATGTATTTTCCAATATACATAATTTGTTTCTTCGACATCGAGAGGGTTGCTTATTGCCCTTAATAACTTTCGCTGAACTCTAAGGTTCCATTTGTTTCTCTCACGTTCCTCCGTCAGCATAATTGCAAACGCCAATGAATCCATAGTACTTATATTGGAAAATTTCCATGAAGAATATAATATTTTAGCTTTGTGTCTTCTATTTTATTTATTTACTACTAGCCAGCTGATTTCGAAACGCCAAATTAATAATAATAATTAAATTTGGTTTGGCAGCACTTTTTTCGAGTTCACATGGATTCCGTGATAGCAAATTGCAAAATTACTGGCAAAAATCTTTTTAATTTCACTTTTATTTCAACATATTTTGATTAAAAGAAAAATACTGATAGAAATAAAATATTTCACACAAACAGCAAAAAGTATAATTGATAATCGCATGAGGCTATTGGCTGAAAATTTTAAAATGCGCTTAGTGGCATTGTGCTACTATGATAGCACGGCCGAGTAATCATAGTCAACGTCCCATCTTTTTACCATTAGCCCAATACAAAACTGTACAAATCTGTACAAATGTACCAATCGAGTGACACTGCCTTAAAAATGTATGCAATTTAAAGAAGAAAATTTTCGTTAAAGTTTCGAGTTTTTTAATCAAATTCTGAGCATGCAGTTTTGTGGCGCATTGAATTCTAGTAGAATAAAGTACGAGTTTCAAATGGCTAAAAATTTCGATTGATGTTTTAGAATTGTTAAAAAGCTCAAAATTTGCACGAAATGTTGATTTTTTTTAATATTGCACAAATTTGGAAACTTGGATTTACACGGGTTTTGTTAAAGAAGGAACTATATTTTTATAAAAAAAAATAACAAAAGTTCAATAACATCAAAAATAATATGTTAAAACTTGGCAAAAAGTGGTTCGGCTATAATTTTTTGACCACTGCACATTGGGTCAAATTATTACTTTTTCTGTGCGAATGTAAAATAATGCCAACCGTTAAAAAATTTTAAAGTCAGTAAATAAAATGTGAAAACATGACTTAGCTTTCGTAAGACACTTTTCCGCGCAATGTTTTTTATGTTCAAATGATGAGTATATGTGTTTAAGGGCCGGTTGTTCAATGTCTGGTTATCACTACTTGCCGGTTAAACATCATTATCGACGTTTTCGTCACCATGCTTATAACATGTGATCGATAAAGCAGTCGTTGCATTTAACCGGAGCTTCTACCTCCGATTTCTGCAAATCAGACATTGAACAACCGGCCCTAAGGGCCGTTTTCTCATCTAACCTTTAGATTACCGGGAAAAGAATACGAACGTTTTTGAAACTAATTTGTGAAAAGAATGTCCAAAGCTCTATTCACCTTGGGCAAAAAGTATACTAAATATATATCTTATATCTTTAATTGGACATGCACACTGTACATAAAGGAAGTACATAACAAAATTAAAAAATATATGCCTTTTACAAAGCTCATTTTGCTCTTTTTTTCAAGTTTTTAGTGCCTTAAAATCCTACATTTCTACATTATGGGGGTCAGAACACCTACCTGCTATATTAAGCACTTTAAATATATTTTAACTTAGTATTTTATTAAAAACACCTTTACACACCTTTTTTCCTTGCTAGCGTCCATTTTTGTTTACTTTTACATTTGGAATTTCTCCTCCGCAAAAATAATTGATAAGTCTAGGTTGGGTACCGAAAAGTTATCGGTTAAATCTGAGATTATTTTATTATTAGAGATTAACAAGGGACGAATTTTGTATGGCTAATCTCTGTTTCTAATTACAGATTATGGAGTTAAGCTCGAAAATTAGGATAATCTACTTATATGTAAACCTAGTATTAGGTCAATTTGAATTTCTTCGGATGCCGTTTGGACTCAGAAATGCGCCAGCTACTTTTAAAAAATTCGTTAACAAAATTTTTTTTGGGAAATGATAAGTAGCGGCGAAGTCATCATATACCTCGACGATATCATGATTGCAACAGAGAGTTTAGGCGAGCACTTAGATATATTACGAAAAGTTTTCCAATGTTTAGTTTAGAATAAACTAGAGTTGAGGTTGAATAAGTGTGAGTTCCTGCAGTCAGAAATTTCTTATTTAGGATATTTGATAACGGGTAACGGTATTAGAGCGGACAAAAAGGGGTTGAAGGTGGTAGAAGATTTTGCAACACCGACCAAGGTACAAGAAGTACAAAGTTTTTTAGGACTTTGTTCATATTTCCGCAGGTTCATAAGAGATTTTTCTATAATAGCGAAACCGCTTTATAATCTTTTGGGGAAAGAAAAAAAATTTAAAACTGGACAGAAAGAGATAGAAGTTTTCGAAACACTTAAAGAAAAGCTAGTAAACTCTCCAGTATTAGCAATTAATGACCCCAGTGTTGCCACAGAGCTGCACTGCGACGCCAGCGCCTTAGGATTCGGGGCAATATTGCTCCAAAAAGAAGAAGAAAGAAAGATAACAAGTTACATCCAATTTTTTATTTCTCAAAGCGCACAAC